CTTGATAGAAGAACTAAAACGGATGTTGTTACTGTACGGGCAAGGATTATGCTAAGTAATATTGTGTGTTTGTAGAAGCAACGTTGCTAAATGAACAGATGGGGCTTCTGAGTAGGCTGCAGATACACTGACCAAATATTAGCCTTAACAACACGCATCTAGATGGAATTCCAGTGAAAACTGAAGACTGGGGCAGCTTTCTTATACTTATCTGCCACCTATGACACTGTATGGAGCAATGTCCTCTGGAAAGCCGTCAGAATGATCCCATGCAATGCAATGAGAACACTCTTCCCAGGAGTTTGGAAAACAGTTTTGCATTTTTCTTGGTGTTGAGGTCAGTAGGTCACACAGGCTCAAAAATAGCCTACCAGAGGATCAGACCTAGCACCAGTCCTGTTAAATACTTACCCCAGTGACCTTCTGTGAACATCATCCTAGAAATGAATCTCTGCTGCTAACATGGCTGTGGCTACATGGGATTTACTGACCATGAGAATCCTTTGGGAGTTCCATTCAATTCATGGTCTTCCAATCCACGAAGCCCTATTAATATACCAAGATTCTGACTCCAATTCAGAAAACCTTTTTGCTTACAGGGCTAGAGCTCGACAACTCAGCTGGAATGATGCCAACAACCTGAACAAATTCCTGATGAAGGACCCAACTAAAGAAACCAGTGGCTTTTCTCCCCCATGAAAAACGGTCCTCTTGGAAGAGCATCTACAAATCACATAGTGGATGCATCTGCCTCCTCCATAAATGGCTGTGGAAGAGACTTAAAACTATGGAGCCCCTGTCAACAGTGTCCCAGGTGATCATATCCTGATTGTACCTCTGCCATCCACTCCATGTCGCCTGAAGCAGCCCGTGGGATCGCCAGGCTAGACTTGGGCACTTCCCATGGCTGTCATTAAGCCACACAGAGGAAGAAGAATGCTTGGCCTTTGTAGTATCTGGGTACGTGTCAGTTCTGTTCATTGTGGGGACGTACCGTTACCCCACGTTACAGATAAGAGCTGGCCTTCTCAGTACCTTAATGCGCCCCTGCAGTAATGTAAATACTAATGGGCATCAAAATCTCGCTCACTAACTAGTCCAGTAGACCCTGCTGGTGCGCACTGAAAGTCCCTTCACGCACGTTAATATTGTCTTGTTTTGAAACAGGATTAATCTACACCAGGGAACTTTTAATGTGGAACAGCAGCATCCACATAAACCAATTGGTGTATTCATGCCGGTGTGCATTGCATTAATATTTCACACACACACACACACACACACACACACACACCCCCCTCTGGCACAGATTGAGGACCATGTAGATAAGCCCTGAATGACTTTCCCAAAGTTGCACAGGAGATTTATGGTGGTGCTGGGCTCTCCTGAGTCCCTGGCTACCGCTCTAACCACTGGACCATCGTCCCTCTCTAGGCTACTCTCACCTAATGTTCTATCCGCTCTGTCTGAAGAATGACTAATAAGTTGTCCATTTTTAAAACCTGTTGCTTGTTTGTCCTTCCCTTGTGCCGGGTGTGTACTTACCAAGTCTGGCACATACGGGGTTTTAATACATTTGCGGTGTTGCTTGTCATGTTTGTATAATAGTTTGAGGTTGATGTAATCAGTGTTGCATTTAATTTCATTAAAATTTTTGTGTTCAGTGTTAATTAAATGAAGTGCTAACGAGGGGTTGTGAAGGCATAGGTGTGCATGCAGTATGTCTTCTTTATATTGGCGCTTTGTCAGGGTGGGGTACTGGACTACAGAATATGCCTATGAAGTACATATTGGAACAAATAGAAGCGGAACCATTTGTTTTCTTTCTAGAGCGCCAGCCTTAAGAAAGTAAAGAAACCTCCGCACTTCTGCTCGGGTGCTAGGATGGTTTATTTTTCATTCAGCCATTGGTTTATTCTTTCATGGGTTCAGTGCTGGAGAAAAGTGCCTCCATTAGACAGCGAGGGCTTTATTTATGGGTGGAGGGGAGGTGTTTCAAAGGGGAGGCTGTGGAGTCCCCCAGGAGCCTTTCACGGTATATTCTCAGCATGCTTCTGCAGCCAGCGCTATGCTCATCAGGAGGAGAGGCAGAACTGTGGGCTTTACAGAGCAACTGTGTGTTTCACTGGTCCCTGTGCTCGCTGACGTTTATTTACATTTTGGGAGAGTCAATGGGTAGAACAGATGGCAACCAGACATTCAGTGGTTCTGTTCCCCGGTGCTCCTCAGGGGTCTTGCCTTCAGTCTCTGCAAAAGCTCGTCCTAAAGTGTGTGTGGGGGGAACCAAAGGCCTGTTCACAATTATGGGAAGGCTTGTTGGCAGTTTACTGCAATGACAGATTAAAGCACTTAGTAAAATGTTAAATAATTATGAGATTTGTTTTACAAGTCAAGATCGTCATTCCTTAAGATGTCTGGTCTGCCTCTTCACTCTGGTGATGAATAAATGCATTTAGATTTAAACAGTGATCCTTTCCTGCTACAAAATCATGTAGCAGAAGAAAAGTTGGTCTGTTTTAAAAGGCCCTTGGCAAATCTTTGCCCTTCTTTGAAAGGATTGCAACTAAATTAATGCTCTTGTAGAAAACCAAATGTTTTTAAGCTCTACAGCTTTAAAAGACTGTCTGTTTTTCAAAGTCTGTTAACATGCGTTGCACGTCTCGCTATTTGCAGTATAAAGCTGGTGGCTGAAATCTTCTTCGCCAGACTTTTTCTTCATTGTTTATACCCATGTAGAGTTGCTGATGTAGAGTTGCTCTTGAGTGGTGGGCAGCTGGCATGGGATGATTGGACTTTTTGGTTTTTCAGATGAGATGATCACGGCATTTCCCATAGGCAAACCCTCCCTATGAAATATGAAATTTTTGAAAGCAGTATTAGCTGGAGAGAACTAGGTCACAGTTTGGACTGGTCAGACTTGCCTCTGGGGTGTAAGCCCTTCAGACTAAAGCAGCTGTAATCGCCACAATTGTAACTCATCGGTGCAGATGCGCTAAGCTAAAAATGATGGGCCTGGCCCTGCAAGGTACCAGCCATCTCCATGTACAGCATAGTGCCTCCGTAGCTGTGTCTCAGTCTGTGACATGATGAATTCCCAGAAGCTGTGGGTACGCACCTGAAATCTCCAAGCACTGTTCAGAAACACTCTGCAGACTCTTCAGTATATCAGCCCTCAAAGTTGTTGTTTCGAGTGATGACTTTTCGGTCTGGTATTGGAGCAAGGGCTACCTTGCAATCCCTTGCAAAGTAAAAAGTGCACATGCATGTTTTCTTTTGAAATTGCTGAGGTGTTCACGGTTAAAGTAGAAGTATAGCTCCTGTCACAGTGATGTATTCCAGAGTGCCCCGAAACATAGTAGGAGCTTTTCAGAAACGAGTCTCTGTGCCGTAGCGCTTACATAGTAAATGATGGACTGATGGAAAAAGTGAAAATAACACACACCAAGGATGAAGAACTGCGTCCCTGACGCATAATGCGCTTATGCCATTTAGGAACAAAATGATTAATTGAAATTAAAAAATAAAGTCCATACTCACTAATGTTGAAGGCAGTGTTCTAAGAATGGGCCATTTGGAATTTAAATGAGGTGAGGATAGCTGAGGAGAGTAGTGTTTGGAAAAGTAGATATTCTGCCACACTGATAGGAAATTGAAAGCTGATCCTAAACAAGAGAGTGTCTGGTCTGACGTGCCTATTTGTACTTGGCAGCAGCTGGGAAGCAGTCGTGTTTCACCGCAGAAGTAGCTACACGTTAGTGGTGAGCGAAGTGGTTCCCTTGTGTAATTTGCAAAGCTCTTTAGGATCCTTTCAAGAGCACAATTGAATGTAATAGGAGATTGCGTCTTTAAATTCGCTGCAGGATGCTGTTGGCGTTTAGAGGGCATGTTTAGAAAGTGAGAAAATGGAGCTGTGATGTCTTAAGTGAGTGAGGAAGGGGCAGGTTTGTCCGGCATTTGATTTTCCAGGAAGTGGCTTAATTTTAGGGATGTTAATTTTAGATTAATGGGCTAATTGAATAGTCGATGCCATTTGCATTGACTTTGATTAGTCGATAAGGGCGCCTCTGCCTGTGGAGTGTAGCAACAGCCGCAGGGTTAGGGTTAGGCCCCAGGGCTGTTGCTATGCTTCAAAGGTGAAAGTGCTGCGGGGAGCGTGGGGCCAATGGGGGACTCCAGCAGTCCCCCACTGGCCCCATGATCCCTGCAGTGTTTCAAAGTGGCATTGCCGCATGGCGCCTGGGGTCAGCGGGGGAGTCCCCAGGTGACCCTGGGCTCTACGTGGTGCTGCCGCTTTGGAATGCCATGTACAGCCTGGGGCCAGCTGGGAGTTGCACGCAGGGCTGCACCCGGCATTTCAAAGCAGCAGTGCCACATGGAGCCAGGAGCCTGGTCCCGGGCTCCATGTGGTGCTGCTGCTTTGAAGCACCCCCTCCATTTCCCCCCCCCCCTTCACACAACTGCCTCTCTCTGATAGAGGCAGCAAGGGGGGAAGCGACTAGTCGACTACCCGAAAAGCATTTGCCTATCTGATAGTCAACTAGTCGTTTACATCCCTACTTAATTTAAATAAATTTATAAATTGTTTGAGGCAGATGGGAAGTCAACTACTCAGATTGCACCAATAAGGTCATTATTATTAATTAACTTAAATAGCCGTGGGAAGTGTCACAGAACTTCATGGCAGCACTGACAGACTCGTGTGGGTGTCCATCTTCCACCCTTGCTTGCAAGGAGAGGGTGACCAATTGGACGCCTGACAGAGCTTTACGTCCCATGCTTGGATAGGTTCTGGGAATGGTAACAAATTCGGCAGCCTTACAGCTCTATAGCCTCTTCATGCCAGTAAAAACCTGCACCCAGAACTCTTGGGTGGCTTGGTGTGAACCTCAAACAAGAAGGCCACACAACATTGCGCACTGTTTGTTGCTAAGGCATCCCAAGTTGACAAGTATGTGGTATTTTGTGTCTGAAGTGTGTATTTTTTCTTCTGTGTTTGGCAGACTGATGTCTTGGTGCTGAGCTGTGATCTGATCACAGATGTGGCTTTACATGAGGTTGTGGATCTGTTTCGAGCCCATGATGCCACAGTCTCCATGCTGATGAAGAAAGCTCATGAACCCACAGAAATGATACCTGGGCAGAAAGGGAAAAAAAAGCCTGGTAAGTAGACTAACGATGCAGGGATGGATGTGGGGGAGATAAAGATGTAGAAATCACGGGCTAATAACCTAGTTGTGTCTAGTCTCCAGTGTGGTGACCATTATGTCTCAGGTTAGCACTCGTGTACAACTTGCAAGCATCACGTTTTGTTACTTGGGAACATTAAAATTTGTGGAGTGGAAGTACCGTGACCACACAACACCACCGTAGAAGGCCTCCGAGGTTAAGAAGTGGCACTAAATAAACCCTGCAGCCACACGTTGAACAATGAGGATAGAGCAGGCCTGGGCAAAATATGGCCTGTGGGAAAGCCACTGGATCTGGCCCGTAGACGCAGTGGGGACCCCCAGGAAGGCTCCTCTACTTGCCCTGCACACTGCTCAAAAAAGCAACTGCGGGGCCATTTCTCTTTCAAAACTGTGATCCCAGAGGGGCCGGGGGGAAGGCTTCAGATGCTGCCCCCACTCCCAGGACAATCCCATTGGCCAGTTTCTGGCCGGAAATTGGCCCATGGGAGCTGCCTGTTTGACTAACAGGCAGCACACGAAGCACTATGCCCCCCTCCCCTTCAGCTCAGTTATTCACATAAGCTCCTGGCTCTGCAGTCTATGCAGGCATAGGGCAGACAGGCTGGCTGACTGGGTGAGAGACGTTTTAAGCTCTGCAAGCATTTAGCTCTGTAGGCAGGCAGGCTGGTTGGGCTGCTGGCTGGTAAGTCTCCTGGCCAGAGCAGTTTCAGTATTTTGATACCAATAGAGGATCTATTACTAGAATTGGTCTGCTAATTACTGATTTGGGTGTGAGCAGGCCTGGGTTCATGAGCATCTGGACGAGAGATTTCCCAGCAGGCAGTGCTTTCCTGCTATTAATATCCCACAGTTCAGCGCCGTTCTTGTGCTGGTCTCACTCTGTATGCTAATGGAGATGTATGTCTGCTCTATCTTCGATGCAGATGGGGCTGGGAGTGTTTCCTTAATCCAGTCACCCTTGTCTGTGTCTTCCTCTGCCATTGCTTTGGCTTTGGCTCAAGCAGAGGTTGTGTGCGTTTGTGTGTGCGTGCATGCGTGTTTTCCATGAGTGCTCTGGCCTCGTTCCCCAAGCGCACAGAGCTGGGAGGTGACACTGTTGCATTCAGTTTTACTCCATTAGCTCAAGTGAAAAGGTCGTAGAATCCCAGGGCCGGAAGAGACCTCAGGAATCATCGAGTCCAGCCCCCTGCCCAAAGCAGGACCAACCCCGACTCAGTCGTCCCAGCCAGGGCTTTGGCAAGTTGAGACTTAAACACCTCTAGGGATGGAGATTCCACCCCCTCCCTCGGGAACCCAGCCCAGTGCTTCCCCACCCGCCTAGGGAAATCGTTTTTCCTAAGGTCCAGCCTAGACTTCCCCCACAGGTGTGTTCAGTGGATCTGAAGGTTATAAACCTGCTGAGGGCCATGTGGGTGTCAGCACGATGCCAATTGGGGGAATTTGATTTTTGTATTAATTTTACATAAGAACGGCCTTTCTGAGTCGGAACAAAGGCCCATCTAGCCCATTGTCCTGTCTGCCCACAGTGGCCAGTGCCAGGTGCCCCAGAGGGAGTGAACAGAACTGGGAATCATCCAGTGATCCCTCTCGTCACCCATTCCCAGTTTCTGGCAAACTGAGGTTAGGGACACCGTTCCTACCCACCCTGGCTGATAAGTGTTGATGGACCTGCCCTCCATGAATTTATGTAGTTCAGTGTTTCTCGACCAGCGGTACGAGTACTCTAAGGGGTACTTGTGAGAAGTCTGGGGGGTACATCAACACAACTGAAATTTGGAGAAAACAGAATTTTTGTTTTAAGGTTTACAGCGCTTTATTATTTTTGTACTTTTTACACCCAAAAATTTAATCGCCCGCCCTGCTACAATTAAGTTGTTTATACAAATGTGTTGCAATGGTAGAAAAAAATGTTGTGTGTCTGAAAACTGCAAGTACTGGGGGTACTTAGAATTTTTTTTAAAAGGGGTACTTTATATTAAAAAAAAAAAAGTTGAGAAACACTGATCTAGTTTACATGATTTTACTGGCGGTCAGGATTGGGGAATGAATGTGATCTGTAGTGTTAACCTATACGCTTTTACTTATCTATTAACTGACTATACTATTACACCCCTATTCAAAAAAATGTTTCTCTATAGGTTTGATACATTTTGCCTGGTCTGTGGTACAGAACTAGCCATGTCTCTTGCCTATGCATGGAAAACCACATTTTTATCTAGTTTTCTCCTAGGGATAAAACATAGTTCACTTCCATGATTGTGCCTTTTCCCCGTCCACACAGGGAAGAGCAGAACCCATTTGGTCACAGCCATGTCGCACAATCCTGCTTTAATCTCGGTTACATAGGAGGCTCCTTGCTGTGCAGACATAAAAATACACTGGACTAGACGATGGCTTAAGATCTGGCTGTAATTTAAGACACATGATGCCTTTATTAAGAAACCTATCATTATTCTTGTGTATATACACACAGGCAGG